TATTCACGAGTGTTTGAAACTCGGATAGGGAGTGAGAAGCGCGCATAATTAAATAGGTCACTTGAGGCTTAATTCAGCCTTAATTGCACAACTATCGTAGTAAGGGCGATAGTACGAGCTAAGCCGGATAACATCCTCCGGTCGGCGAACACACCTACACGAAAGATAAATCGCTCTCCCCAAAAACCCGCATTTTATTTCCCGACCGTAACACACTCAATACTATCTATGACAATATCAAAAAACCAAAAAGATAATGATTTTAAGCATATTTGCTAGATTACCAAAGTCTACCTGCATTAAAATGTTCCAGAGATGCTAGAATAGCCGTCCAGGTCCGGGCTTAAATCCCATTGAAAACATGTGGGCAATTGTAAAAAGAAATGTAGAGAAGAGAATGCCCCCGAAAAATTGAGGATTTATAAGGGAGTGGCAGAACATCTCAGACAGTGTTGTAATTAATCTCGTAAATTCAAAGTCTAGACATTGTCAGAGTGTAAACGAGAAAAACGGAGAAAGGATTAATTATTAATTTATTATTTAATTTTTGGCAGCGCAGAATAAATTTTTTTGATTCCAGATAATTTTGCTATTCTAAAATCTAAATGGTCAATAGTAATAGCTATTGCGCTATTTACATCACTAAATTTGCGTCAGATATTTACATGTTAGTGTAATACATTTAATATGAAGTGATCATCTGACGTACTAATCTAATAATATTAATATTAATCGAAAATCGCTATTATTAAATTCGCCCTAACATCCAAAAATTTTAGGAGAATTGGAAATTTTTTTAAAACAAGAAATGGGAACAGATTCCACATGAAAAATATCTGAAGCTGGTTGATAGTATGCCTTAATATTAAAGGGTAGAAAAATGTGTTGCACAATGGTTGGCCAACAAGATATTAAAATAGTAAAAAATAAAAACAACAATAGTGGAATTATTCAGGTCTATTGCATGCTTATGGTTGAAGTTCTTGGAATATAAGTTGTAGAGAGATGTCTTTGATCAGAAAAAGTGATTCAAAGACAAAAGAAAATTTATCTATAAATTTAATGACAATTTTGTTTTTAAATATGATGCTAAAAGAAATAAGCTAATTCAAAACCCCACTGTACCATACTGGTTCTAGTACCCTTTAGTATAGTACCCCCTTTGCTTAGTACTTATTATTATATACACTCCAGACAAAAGTTTGTCCCAAAATTTATTTTCTCAAGAATGTTTGTCATTGAGTTATTATTTAAAGAAGGTATTACATTGCACAATGACTGCCATGTACATGTACATGTTCATGCTGATGGAATGTTCAGTTATCACACTTTTTTTGGCTGCTTCTAATTGTCTTTGATATCTGCCTCAAATGAATTAATTTTCATATTATTCAATGCAGCAGACAAAACCATTGTCTGATCACTGCTAATGTGTGCTGCTAATAATTCATATGGTGACCAATTATTCTGTGCCATTGTTATTAAATGTTCCAATGTAAGCCAAGTCATCATGCAAGAGTAAACCCAGTGACATAGAAACAATATCCAAAATGCAAATGTATCCATACAATGAATTGTCATATCCATATCAGCACACATGGTCTTGATGATCCAAATGACAAGTCCGGTTGGTCACACATGGGTTGGTGTTGGACCCTGATTTTCTGTGCTTTTACTAACCAACAAGGGTCAGGTCCTAAGTCCAGTGGGTATTAGCATACAGTCAATCTATGTCAGGAACAATGCTAAACATTTTAGACAAGATCGAACTCTTGCAAACCATAAATCAACGTATCAGCATTAAGCATGCAGCAAGGGAGTCGTCTTTTTTCTCGGTCTTCTCTCCTCGGTAACTGTGTCTTCAATAAGCAATCGGCAATAAATGTCTTCCCACTGCCAGTATCCAATACGGCAATAATGTTATCCGTCTTGGCTCTTTCAAATAACTCGAGTTGATATTTTCTAGGAGGAAGTTGGGTGGCTACTTCATCCACAGTGGCTACGCGCTCGGTATACGCGTTCGTACATCCTGCTATCATGGACTTAGAAACGTTACCTCATCGAATTCGTGCGAGTCATGTGAATATATTGACTCGCATGACAGGTTTAAACTTCCCCGACGGAAAGGCTCGCTCCGTTTTGATACAAATAATAATATTACCCCAACAAATTTAACGGAAGAATTTGTATCAAGACTTTACGCGAGTACCATGATACGTATTTAAGAACAGACATGCTTGTTCTTCCGAGAAACATCCATGAAACTTGATCCAAGTCATTACGTATCTTATCAAGACTGGAGTAGATAAGCAAAAGAAGTTTATCAGTATGATTCTCAAAACAAAAGCAGTTTCACCACGAGTTGCATAAATGTACGATACATAGTGTACCGTTACGTTTTTTTCCCTGTATTTATACATACGTTTCGATATTCACCTCACTTTTGTACTCCGGCCGCTGACTGATATTCAGAAAAAATCAAGGAAGTTAGTCCTTCATCTTGGGAAGTTACAATATTATGTGAACTAGATATGGTTGATGCCTTACATTGATTCAATACCAGATTACGTCTTCAACACATGAGTAACATTCAAATATTTTCGGATACTCTTACTGGCGCTCGCAACATAGTTCTTAACAAACCGATCGTTATTGTTGGTGCATCAGTTTCAGATGTATGGTGCATCATATACACACCACATCGTGTACAACCAACTCATTTTCTCATCAGAGAACCTGTGTATTTAAAAGTGTGTTCTGGGCATAAAAATTAAAATAGAATATTTCAATGCAAAACGAATTGGTATTGTTAGACAGAATTGAATGCTCCAAAAACGTTCCATAGCCCATGCGCCATTCCATTGAATACATAATTGTTACTTCGATAATAATAGATTTACCATATAAATCCAGTAATAGAAAGACATCAGTTCTATATCCAACGTGCCATTAAACTCAGTCTAATGCCGCACGAGTATCGGCATCAATTGTCGTCCACTACCTACTCAAAAGTCGCGCTGTCGGTTTATCGACTCAGATGGATAAGCCAAGACTGTAATACGTGAAGAGTAATACATCGTCCACGGAGACCATCCCGTCCTTCTGCAGGCGGATAGTTAAGCATGTAGGTAGATGTTAACTTCTAACAGCATATCCGAGTTCAAGACACATCATTATTGGTGTAAAGAAGATGCATTGAAGTTCCACGGTCTGCGCATTTGTTGCTACCACTTTTAGATTGTATTTGGCTAACTGAGGGAAATAGTTATAAATAAATAATGATTAACAATTCTTGTGTTAAACTACCGATAGCAATATTTTCCGCCTTATAAGAAAATATAACATGCCTGGTCCATAGCCGTCATGGCCGTTCCCTCCGCTACATGAATAGCCCATTCCAGCATCCATCTGCACTATAAAATGTGAAGAGATACTTCCGATGTTTCCGAGAAGTGCAAAGACGTCTTCCCATTATAGTAGATATCCCCCACACGATCAGCCAAATAACCGATCTTCTAACTTTGACCTCGTAACCAATACGTTGTTCTCTGCAATAAATTAATGTGATGAGTGATAAAGTTATTGATACACTACATGCGATTGTAATGCTCTAATATATAATTTCATTGAAACGCCAAGACACTCCAACGAGTTTTCTACTTACCCCCTGCTGATCACCTCATCTCATGGCCACTCGAATAAACCAACGGGTTTCCATTTGCAAGATGGCATTGTCACGTCTTCTCTCGCTTCACTTACAGGTTTCTTTGCGGTTGGGGAGCTAGCTTTAGTCGGATAGGTGTCCCGATCATCCATTTATCGACCGGCAAAAACCAAGCAATGAATATTTAACTAGTTGGATATAAATCTGCCATATGTCGTTTGCCGTAATTTAGTTATAGGGAAAAGTAGGATTGCAAAGATATGTAGATAATCCCATAAGATTTGAAATTACTAAAATAGATCAAACAATTAAAAATCAGTTTGAATAACATGAAGATGGAAAACCATGAAATACCCCGAATTACTTTCTTACTATGAATCCAATTCTGTATAGCACTGAATTCCTTAGCATGGTTATATCTGTGTATAACATTGATCCATATTTAGATTGAATAACATCTAAACGAATCACTTTGTAATGCTCATCTTCACTTACACGGTTAATGCCATCATTGACGATCCGACATAGCGATGCGCTCTCTTTAGAAATCTTTGGATAACCCTCATCCACAGACTCGAAACATCTCTGCCCCCAAAGTGTAGTTAATCTCAACGTGAACTCGAAGAACCTTCTATTTTTATTTTTTTCTTTCCTCCCCCGTTCAATTTTTGCTTCTCCACTTTTTACTTATAGTATAATCCAATACTATGGAAAATGAAATAGGCGTTAAATCGATTGTAGCAAAGAGTAAGACGCATATCAAACGATAAATAATAAACATACACATTATGTCTTCCTTAATAGTTACAATAGAAGCAATGGTAGCAGTTCCGAATATAGTGGCCAAATTCCTATGCTATGTTACAACATACTAGGAGAATAAATTGGGCCTTATCAGACCAATTGCATGTTTCATGGTAGGCGAGGAAAAGTCTTCACCGTCGACTTGCCCACGGAATGTCGTGTTAAGAACATGTGCTTTTTTCTCCGCATTTTTGTCCAGAAAGGATCGGCATCGCGCAATACTATACATTGCACATGCATTATGATAAATGTAACATGGGTATGCTAACATTTCTTTCAACTTGTCTATGCGGCCGTAAGTCGTGTTGACAGCATCGTTAGAAGGAAGTCTGCTTAGGCAATTCAAACGCCTACCCTCATGTCATTATACAATGGGGTACCTATAATCCAAGCATGTTCAAATAAGCGTATTTTATGACTTATCAATCACTCACCAAATCACGTGTCCTCTTGCTTCCGTCAGAACGAATACGCCACGCACATTTTCTCCACTTTTACCAAGTTTATTTGGAAAAACCTGGATTGTTTGCTTGCTATTATACAATGGGGTACCTAAAATCCCAAACATGTTCAAAATACCAAAAACTTATTAATCACTCACCAAATCTCGTGCTCTATTCAGATCCGGCAACGTCGTCGAAATAATTGCCAAACGGATATCCTCTTGCTTTGTCAGAAACGAATATGCCTTGAATCTGCATAGCCATACTTCAGCAAGGGAGAAGCTTGTGATCTTGGACATGAGACAGTGGGACGCCATTTCTATACATACTGTATTTTATCTATTGTATGTATCACTTATGAATCAGTGTTTATATGAACATTTCATTAAAGTATATTTATAAAACTCCTATCAGCGCAACAGCGAATTGGTTGTCTGATCATATCTCAGAGTCACGGTACAAGACATTCTTCAGTTGCTACCCTTTTGGTACAGCCCCACCTCTGTAATCAAACAACAGGAGTCTCATAAAGCAAGCCATTCGACACGCGACTAGTAGAACATATACATCAAAAACTAATCGTCTCTTGGAAACACAATTGATCACCCGATTACGCTCCCGATCCAAACATAGTGCTAATGTAAAAATATTTTGCGACGTTGTAAGTCCTCTAGAAAATGAAATTTTATTGAACGCCTGAAAATTCGACCATTACTCATCTTTAACTTTCCCGTGTCCATTTCCGTAGTCACGTAACTGATCCGGACTTTCACCGTATAGATGATTGAAGGACAGAATAACAAGAATGGCATGATACTGTTGCAAGATAGCTAAGAGACCGAGTATGAGAGTTTAACCATCACTGAAAACTTTTTTCGGATAAAACTGACCATTCGATGAAAACCGGATGATTTGGTCACTCAGTTGTTCGATATTCGGTTATCTGCGATTATCTGACAATGTATATTGTTCAGTTGTTTGATAGCTAAAATAACCAGTCGATTGTGGATAGATTGAACGATTATTCGCGTTGGGAAGCATCCAATTCCGAATGTTGGTTTTGCGACTCACAAACTGCGAAAAAAAGTAAGATCGAATCCGATGGGTTCAAGAGCACCGAGAATGGACTGCCGATTGTTGATACAAGGTAATATGGGGTGCGAGTCTTGCTTTACTCTGATGGCAGGATTCATGTGTGGAGACTTCTCTACATTAACATGGGACTGTTTAGGCCATATAATAAGACTTGATGGGCGCAATATACTTTAATTATTGTTAACAAAGCAAAGAGCTAACATATTAATATTGCAATTCTATAGATACGTCGGCTATAAGGTGTTTGAGATGGTCTGTCTCTTTGCATTCAATGTTACGCTGTGTATATGAACCAACCAGATTTTGACCGCGAAGAAGTCTAACCCAAAATTTATATAATCTATTCGACGCACAATTTATCGTTATGCTTGTACAAAATATTTCGAGTGAGTTATATAATATTAATATATGGTGAACAGTCAGTCAGATACATGTACGTACGTATATATTTGTAGTTGTTGCATTGAATAATAATAAGAGTGATCAATGTAATGCAATCGAGATATGCTATTCTAGAGTAAGACTTGCACATCTGGTAGAAAACAATTTGTATAGTGAAAAGGGTATGTGTTTATTTATATGTATCATTTAAGTATAAACAACAGGTTGACATTCTAGCCATTAAGAATTATTCTGGTTGGTCGTCGGGTTCTCCCACTCACTCCACCTTCATCCGTGCCGTTGCAGGCCCACCGTGGTGGCCATGCTTCATCTGAGGGTTAAGGAAGATTATTCATGGTACGATTATTATAACGTACAAAACCACGTAGGCAGCTTGTGTCTAAATTATATTATACTTACAATGTTTCAGTTTGCAATAGACTTCCCTCAGATCACTTTTGTCTGAGAGGGAAGTCTGCTCTGTCTGCTCTTTCTGCCTCGTCTGAAGATAGGATTTATTTACGATTATTATAATGTCTACGTGGTCGAAAAGAAAAGTATATGAGAAAACGTGTAATATATTTACCAATTCATAGAGAGACCTGTATAATATTCTCCAGAGCCTCCTCACACGGGCGTGACGTATTGTTTTCCTCGTCTTACGCCGTGTGGAGGCCCTGAAACTAGCCTGTGATCGAAAAAAAAAATTCATTCACAATTTATTAAAAAGTTCATCTTTCTGAAAAGATAAGAAGAAGAGTATGTAAAATATATTTACCACGAATCTTTCGTGGCCATTTATTTATATGGCCCATTCTCCAGGATGCATTTTGCGATCTGATGATAATAATAAATTAAAGGGTTAGGATAGGATAGGATAGGATAGGATAGGAATAAGTCAGTTATATACGAGAGAATATACATATCCTTACTTCGTGGAGATATGGGCCATAGAGGAGTAACCCACAATTTCCCTTCTGAGTAGGCACGTGTTTTGCTCCGAAATGAAAAGAAGGGTTTGGTTATTGAAGATGTGGGACATTTTTTTATTGATAGTGTAATTTGAGGGGGTAAGAGTAAAAAACGGATTGTTTGGTAGGGATGGTATACAATCTGCTATCGGTTTACAAAAGCTGTTGTTGGGCATGTTAATTTTAATGTGTGTTATGTTTGCTTTGAAGCCAGAAGCTGAGTTTTGTCATGTTAGTATAGTCTTTATATATGCCGATATTTGGCGATGAATCCTGTTATTGTTCCTCAGTGTTTATCTGATATTTCTCATCAAGAAATCTAGACCCACTATTACAACTCCCAGAAAAGGATGTGGCTTTCCTTTGTTTGAAGACACTATCGCACAAGTGGATCTATCACTCAAGTATGCAGGTACATATGCACAACAAACTATTTTGAGAAAATTGGGGCTTGTTCGTTCCACCTTGATGCAGGTGAAATTGCTATTACATGTATTTTCAAGAAAAGTTCGAGCCCCCACCAACCTATTATATTACCATCATCTATATACCAACACTGTCATCGAAGTTTTAGAGCCAAGTTTATGATTTTATGATGATTGCGAACCTAACCGTGTTGTATTTCGTTAGTGAGGTATACGAATAGACTTTTTTGTATTCATTCGTTACGCCCTAATGCATGCATGATTCACATGAGAGATATCGATGATATAATACCGACTTGGGATTTGTGGCATGTATGCTAAATCGGAGAAACATACAGGTACCATCTTCGTTGGGGAGAAAACTCGGAACAAAGGTCCCGGAGGTGTCGGGACAGCAGAAGGATTTGGGTTAATAATATCAATAACGTAAATACCGAGTAGACGTACTCTTCATCAAGGCTCTTAGATAACGTAGTATTTTCAGTTGCATGCATGAGTCTTTTTGACATTATTGATAAAAAATCATAATACCCGATGCATCTCCCTTAATAGTTATCACATGAGCATGGAAATGTCGCACAGTAGATGTTGAACTTGTTTAAAACTAGCTTTACAGATTATCTATGTAAGACAATACAGTTCTACATTATCGACACTAGAAAACTTGTTCGACAGCTAACAAGACAAGCCATTTTTCATACAAGTAGCAGTGATAATGACTTGCTGAAATGAATGCCTGCAGAAAGACACTTGTGAAGTTGTCATTATTGGCATATGCCGAATCAAAGTAACACAATGCGTGGAAGACCCTGTGCATTCGTGTGGGAAAGTCATACCAACCAGTTATCCAGTTGCACAGCATCGTAAATGTTATTGACAGCCATTACTAATACTTTGGTGAATTATTCTGGCCACGAAAAGAATCGAAAACACATAAGAAGCACTAAAAAAAAAGCCAAAATCTCATCACGTGAAATATCCGAGACTCGCGACTGATAAATTATATTCCGGTAGGTTAGGGTTTACTTAAACGCTTTATTATTACGATCGCTCTTGCTGTTTAGATTCGATCCGACGCTTTCCCAAAGAACAACTCACTAATTGTCAATACAACTCCATTGTTATAATCCAATTCTAAACAGTCCTGCTTTTTCGTTGCATCGAGTTCGACGACTAAAAGATAGTTGATGTAAAAAATTAGTGAAACGACCCAAGTTTATAAGAAAACAATACTCAATGAAATCGAATAAATTATACCCGTTTGATGCAGAATAGCCCTATATGTTCTATTTACCTCTGAACACCAAATTACCAAACCATCAATTGTGACATGAAATACATGGCCATTGCAAAATACATCAGAATCTCTGTATTATGTCTGCTAATGTTTTGCGGCAGGATGAACGACATGGCGAAAAACCCCCAGACAAAAGAAGTTCAACAAGACCGATCCAAGCAATTCGAATAGCGCTTGTTTTTAGCGGTTCGTTTAGAGCATCCACGTTCGCATAAAACTCATCTTGACGTATCTGAATATAAAAAGATGGAGGAGAAGGATAGCAATTGTAAGGAAACGAGCAATTAAACAGATGACAAAACGATAAAAACTTTCAATGATAAACCCAGTCTAACGATATGGTCTGTATTTTTTACTTACATGATCCTGAGTTCTGTTGATACTGAAAAATCGTGATTTCACTCGTACGGTGACCATGTTACGGTAGTTTGGAGGGTTTTTCTTAAAGCCTGGGGGGGGTAAATATTGGGCGTCGTATTTATGTTGTAAGGCAAACTGCAGTTCGAATTGATGGTCAGTGTTAAAAGGCGGAGTTTGTAATAGCTGTTATGAAATATACAACGTAATTTATTTGTCATAGTTGATATATTTACGTCTATAATGCTCCTCTCCATACTCCATACGCAAGCACATTGCGCCAATCTAATACAACACGTCCAATGTATGTAATATGAAACCGGAAGAAAAGTGGGCTCATGAGAGCAAAAGATGGGTTTGATACACAAACGCATTTTTATGGTAAATTTTAAAGTCGCACGAAGTGCCAATAAACATAATCGTTATATGCCATTGAATTAAATGGAAAGTCCATTGCACGCAATGGTATTCGATCTGACAATAGCTGCGCAATTCGGGCCATTAAATTGATTTAGTGATAGTTATATAAATACTCGTAGTTTCGTTAGCAAACATCATCTCGAATCTTTCGTTGGCAAACATCATCTCGAATCTTTCGTTTCTTATATTACTTGCCTTTAGAGTATTTCTTTATAAACGCGTTTGTACCAAAAAATACCCCCTACTATTGGTCATCTCCTTGGATGACACTGACAATATCTAACAGAACAGTTTCTAGAGATACTTCACTATTATTGTTTCCAAAGTTCGGAGAGGGGACATTCATTGCTTTTACAGTGAGAAATGTTTACATATTAATAATTCAGCAGTTGTATGTAAAAATTGGGATAACAATAGACATCCAACAGTAAGTTCAAGGAAAGATTATCAATTCTAGTTTGTTGCTATATGTTAATGTAATAATGTCCAATTATTAGGTTTGTGAATTCTAACACAGCTTTAAGAGTGGATATTATAATTTTTACTCTCTATGTAATCCTTCACGCTGAGAGTCATTATCTATTATGGTATAATTATTGCTCAAACGTTCGGGTGCGCATGATTGACGCGATGTTTGCAACATCGTAGACTTACTACATTATTTTCTGTATTGGGGCATCGTCCTCTTAAAAAATTGTATTTTTCTTATTCCCAAAATATTTATATAAGGCATCCGGTAATTCCTTAGCACGGTTATATAATCCTTAGCTGTGATCATCCAACCTTATTAAGAGACCAAAGCCACAGTGGGTACTCAAAGTCTCCGACCACCTTTAAAATTCCAAATTTTATGAAATTTTAGCGATTGTTTGTGCCTGGTCTAACCTACAATTCTACAATTAAGCGCTACAGTAAAATTTTTAACTGTTTACTCATTTGCGCTATCAACAAGATCTCAATTAAAAACAATTTGAAATGGTAGGACATTATTACATAAAAAACTTTATTATAAATTTCAAGAGAGCACATGTGCATTTTGCAGTTGGAACGCAGTCACATTCACAGCAAGAGAAATTTGAACTCGGTACTTCCTACTACCATATCATTTTGCGAAAAATCAAACCATTTACTAGTGATGAGCGCGGAATTATTATTGGAGTATGGCTGTTTGAACACTTTGAATAAATTGAAGCCAAAACTGGCTATCTATCCCAAAAGCACAACACATGACACAATAGAAAAATTGGTAGTGAAACATTCCATCCACATAATGGGAGACTACCATTACTCACTGATAGGAACAAATGACAATTGAGTTGCTGTCGGTTTTTAACAACTTTCTTATAACCATAAAGCCACTCATTTTAATTTTAGTCAAAAATACTACCTTCCCAGGTGGTTTACAAAAAAATTTTAATATCCTTTTTTAAATGTTGTGTATAGTACAGTTGGTAGATTATTATTTAACCTCGTTTCTATTGATGGGATTAATTCGAAACCCTATAGGGAGGGGAATTCTCACTACACTAAACGCGTTTAAATTTCGATTTTATATACCGCTGATACATAAAGGCGTTTTGCACTTTTACCAGCGATAGAAAATCTCAGCAGGGAATGAACGAAATAAATTTATATTTAACACGGATTTTTATTATTAGAATATAAATAACGATTCTAATTGCAAGGAATCATTAAGAACAATTATCGAAATAAAGTATTAAAGATGCTGAATATAGGCTATAGCGTTCGCTAGAGAAACTACCTGCTTATATATTTTTAAATCGGTTTATTAAACTGATCAAATTTCTTGACATTACTGCGCTTGTGTTGTTTAAAGTTCGATTGGAAATGTTATTTTGTCCTTCATCTATACGGTGAAAGTCGGATCAATTACGTGACTACGGAAACGGACACGGGAAAGTTGAAGACGAGTAATGGCCGAATGTCAGGGGTTCAATAAAGATTCAAGGACTTACAACGTCGCAGAATATAGTACTATGTTTGGATCGGGAGCGTAATCGTGTGATCGGAACATGGAGCAGCATGGAATATTTCCAAGAGGCAATTAGTTTTTGATGTAGATGTTCTACTAGTCGCGTGTCGAATGGCTTGCTTTACGAGATTCCTTTTGTTTGATTGCAGAAGTGGTGGACGGTTAGGCTGTATCAAAAGGGTAGCAACTGAAGAATATCTTGAAGTCACACTTGGTATTGTACGAAGGTTATAATTAACATCTTGTACCACGACTCTGAGATACGGTCAGACAACCAATTCACTGTTGTGCTGATAGGAGTTTTATAAATATACTTTAATAAAACGTTCATATAAACACTGATCCATAAGCGATACATACAATATGTAAAATACTGAAACAAGTGATTCCAACAAGAAATAAAGTATTTCTTCTTAATTATGATCACGCGAGTTCAATCTTACATGGCATAGCGCCCCTTTTAATTGCCACAAACTCAACATGCCGATGGGTAGCCCTGATAAATTTCACGTCCTAATGGCTGCATATCCCAACGATATATAATTCGCATGCTTACAGTTGTGATTATGAAATTGGCACTCTTCCATGAAGTGTTAATAATATACGCGTCATTACAAAATTTACTTAGTATAACCTTTTCCAACCATACATTAAGCGTCCTACTGTCAAACCATGAATCTATATCTTCATCTTGGATTAACACAATTGCTCGAGTTCGAGTATTGGGCCTTATCAGACCAGTTGCATGTTTCGTGGTAGGCTGTCATTTTAGAAGTCTTTACCGTCGAACTTGCTGCATGTCACACGGAATGTTGTGTTAAGAACATGTTCGTATTTTTGTACCAGAAACGATCGGCATCGCGCAATACTATACATTGGTAACAATGCACGCACATTATGTTATATGCTAACATTTCTTCTGAAGTCATGCTTTGACAGCATCGTTAGAAGTAATCCCAGATCATCAGTCTGCTTAGGCAATTCAAACGCCTGCCCTCATGTCATTATACAATGGGGTACCTATACGTGTAATTCAAAATAAGCGTATTTTTTATGACTTATCAATCACTCACCAAATCTCATGTTGTCAGAAACGAATACGCCACTCGCATGCCATTATTTATTATACAACGGGGTACCTAAAATCCAAACATGTTCAAAATAAGCGTGTTTTACGACACATTCCAATCACTCACCAAATCTCGTGCTCTATTCAGATCCGGCAACGTCGTCAAAATAATTACCAAACGGATTTCGATATCCTCTTGCTCTGTCAGAAACGAATACGCCACTCGGCCTTGAGTCTGCGTAGCCATACTTCAGCAAGGGAGAAGCTTGTGATCTTGGACATGAGACAGTGGGACACCGTCTGCCATTTCTCTATAACATTTGGCTCAAATACGAATGTATCACACGAACAACTGCCGTTCAATATGCAATGGGCAGATAAGATTAGCTCATGAAATCGGAATAATTGCTTGAAGGTGTATTTTACGGGCAATTTGCAGTCTATTGGATTAGTTGTCAACTATATTAATTGTCGCTTATCTTCGTCCTATGACAGCTTTATTTCCCCCATATTTATTTTCTAGTATGTTGTCTGTAAACATACCTTTGGCTATCTTCAGCTGCATAGGAATTTGGCGGATTCTTGGCCACTATATTCGGAACTGCTACCATTGCCTCTATTATAACTATTAAAAGGAAGACATAATGTGTATGTTTATCATTAATCGTTTGATATGCGTCTTAAAGAGAGCGCATCGCTATGTCTGAGCGTCAATGATGTGTAAGTAAAGATGAGCATTGACTATTATTACAAGGTGATTCGTTTAGATGTTATTCAATCTAAATATGTAATTCGGGGTATTTCATGGTTTCCATCTTCATATTATTCAATCTGACTTTTAATTGTTTGATCTATTTTAGTAATTTCAAATCCTATGGGTTTGGACACATTATCTGCATATCTTCGCAATCCTACTTTTCCTTATTATTAAATTATGGCAAACGACATATGGCGGATTTATACCCAACCAGTTAAATATTCATTGCTTAGTTTTTGCATGGATGATCGGGGCGCTTTTCAATGGCTATCCGGCTAAAGCTAGCTGCCCCCCACCGCAAGAAACCTGTAAGTGAAGCGAGGAAAGACGTGACAATGGTTTATCCGAGTGGCCATGGGATGAGGTGATCAGCAGGGGGTAAGTAGAAAACTCGTTGGAGTTTCAATGAAGTTATATATTAGAGCATTACAATTGCATGTCGTGTATCAATAACTTTATCACTCATCACATTAATTTATTGCTGTTTTAATATTGTAGAGAACAACGTATTGGTTACGAGGACAAAGTTAGAAAATCGGTTCTTTGGCTGACCGTGTGGGATACTCGCATTTATCTCAGAATGAACTGTCTGCTATAATGGGAAGACGTCCTTGCACTTCTGCGATAACGTCAGAAGTATCTCTTCACATTTTATAGTGCAGATGGATGAGCTATTCATGTAGGCCATGACGGCTATGGTCCAGGCATGTTATATTTCTTATAAAGCGGAAAATATTGCTATCGGTAGCTTAACACAAGAATTATTAATTATTATTTATAACTATTCCCTCAGTTATCTAAAAGTGGTAGCAACAAATGCGCAGGCCGTAGAACTTCTTTACACCAATAATTATGTGTCTTGAACTCGGATATGCTGTTAAGTTAACAACTACCTACATGCTTAACTATCCGCACGGGATGGTCTCCGTGGACGATGTATTACTCTTCACGTATTACAGTCTTGGCTTAACCATCATGAGTCGATAAACAGACTTGAGTAGGTAGTGGACGACAATTGATGCCGATACTCGTGCGGTATTAGATTGAGTTTAACGGTACATTGGATATGGAACCGATGTCTTTCTATTACTGGATTTATATGGTAAATCTATTATTATCGAAGTAACAATTATGTATTCAATGGAATGGTGCATAGCTATGGAACGTTTTGGGAGCATTCAATTCTGTCTAACAATACTAATTCGGTTTGCACTGAAATATTCTATTTAATTTTTATGCCTAGAAATACACAAGTTCTCCCGATGAGAAAATGAGTTGGTTGTACGCGACGTAGTGTACATGTATCCTCCTACAGACGTAAATCCAAGCGGCAGAGATCGAATACAAGCGACGTGAATCGGGACAACCAAGACCAAAAGCCTTGGAATCAGATATTGTAAACTAAAATCGACGAGAGAAGAAAGGAACGAGCACTCGTTAGCCCAATAGTGACATTATGTATCCTAGGTCTTAATGTATTTCACCGGGTCGAGGAGTGATATTCATTCTGTATTCTTAACGTACGGACTTCTAAAATCTGAAGAAGAGTATAGGATGGTATCAGCCGCTGTTGGACGTACGTATAATAAGTTTATTGTCTATTGATTAATAACGCGTATGTCTCTACATATAATATTGTTGTTCACTTTTCTGCGATCCTGCTGTGTATATAGGCCATATAAGAACTACATACTCTCGGGTACCTGTTGATATTAATTAAGGATTCAACGCTAAGAATAAAAATCGGAGCAAGCAAAATTTGTAGAAAGGTCAGTTTCTATAGAATGGTTTCTCGATGGATACAATAGAAAGAATACGTGGACGCCATTTCCCATTAGAATTATTTTACAAGATCTATATTCTTATCCATAGTGTTGAGAACGAAAGAAACCACCCTGGGTTCTTTAAGGGCTTTGTTCAATATGCGAAATTGAATCACCAACGCACTTTGCTGTTTGACGCTTTAAAGAGAAAATTACCTGATCTTGACCACGTATGGTGACCTAACTCATGACGGAAGAAACTTCTGACGTGGGCAACGAAATATGCCATTTATTACGATTCACCGTAAATAGGTATTATTCAAATTATTGTTATTGTCGAAAGTTAACAACATTTGTGATCTGATGTCTGTATACGTACGTAGTCCCAAACATCCAGCAGTGTAAGTTTACGTAATGCTAAAGATTAAGTTGTTATTTAATTCTCTATGTGGATCGACATTAATATGTATGTTATACGGATAGGGCACTTGCTGGATGAGAAACATTTAATAGACCAGACTAGTAGAACTGAAAGGATTACAATCGGCTGTGGAAATCATGCTTAAATGTATATTTGGGGTCCCGACCGTATAGTCATTCTTGAATAATGGGAAGGGAATTACGTAGTCAATAAATACTATTCTTCGTTGAAGCTTCTCATCCGGGATTTCGTCTCAGGTGATAGGCTGATGCCGAGAGCCAGATCGAAGAAATGTCAAAAATGTTGGCAAAGTTGAAAGATTTATCGTAGATCAATTGAGAAATTTGATCGGTGAGGAATTCGTATTCCCAAGTTATTTTCCACAGTTTGACTAAATTATCAAAGCAAGACAAAACGGTTACTATCAAAAAATTTTTTTTATTTTTTATATTAACCCATACAAGAGAAGCGTGTATATATGATGAAGCAAATGTTTGTATTGTTCTATTTTATAAAGAGATATAAAACGAAGCTCAGATTGGGGACTCTAGATTCCGTTCCGTTGCAAGGACATCCGAATTCTAGATATTCCACCATCATCACTAGCTGGTTCTTGCCTCGCTATTCTTTCTACTTGTGAGCTTGCTGATGATGGTCGCTGATACGACGTACTCGTAGTTGATCGAGATCCGCCTTCTAAGGCTTTATATTTAACACGGCCAGAGTTACGGATAGCTATGTCACACAGGTGATCGTCAACCGTCCACGGGAAGGAAATCATATTATCAGCAGGGTCATCCCCTCTCTCGCTTGGATGATACGCAACATAATACCAAGCATAGGCCTTGGCTTCCAGTTTGCTCTTCATACCCACATGGATTTTAGCCTCGGCTGCTGATTTTACAGAATATTCGGCAAAGATGTCGTTCTCAAATTTTTTACGGTAATTACGTCGAATACCGTTCATCGCTTCACTGACCGCTCTCTGTGTATCACGTGGCTTCTTTTGCTCCACCTTTATGGTAGAGTTGACTATGAATCCGCTGACAACCTCGTATTCAGTCATGACACCATATTGATTCATTAGACCGCGTACGTCTGCATCATATGCACGTTTCGTAACACGAGCGTCTTCCAGATGTTGTTCATAGCCATCCACGAATAATCGTTGATCAAATTTAATGTCTGTTTGTAGTGGGTCAAAATTACAAAATTGAAGTTGTATAGACCTGTACAGTTTTCCAAGAATCTTTTGAGATTCATACGATCGTTTGTCCGCTTTATCCATAAAATCCGGATATTCGCTTACACGCAGTTCCTTTGGGAATTCAGCAGGGACACCGGTTTTAGGAAAGTCCACGGCCTCAGAATGTAACTGTGCCAGTCGCAAACAGCTTCCGTGCATAGCACCTACTGCTTCTTTATCCGCTTTTGCCACGTGAGCATTTGCTATCTGCCCGAGATTGTCATTGAGAATGTAATTCACAAAGAATCTTTTGATATGATCAATTGTAACCTCCTCCACAGTAAATGGCACTGGTGATTGATATTCCATTGGTGCAAAATTCTTTTCCGGTGGTATTAGTCTTTCGTCCCAAATTATGGTAAAGTCGTCTCCATCCAAGTCGCCCCCGCTACACATATTAGGTAAGTCCCTATATCCATTTGCGGGAAATACCAACACATCAACCAAATGTTTGAGATCCGGACATTTGACTGCCGTAACTACCCTTATATCTCCAGGGTGGAAACAAGGGTTACGGAACACTATACAAGTACCAGTTATCACTCTCCTCACGGAAGAATCATCTGGGTCTGAAATACATAGATATATTTCATTTTCATTCAGTAAATTGGTCTCATCTACCACCCCTAAAAGGAATGCTCCATCGTCGACAAATATCTTCGCTTTATTTTTGAGGTCACGAAGACATGATATACGAAACAGCGATAATAAATTTGCTAACCAAGGGTCCTGTTGTCGCATAAAGCCCGCTCTGACCATATCAGCTAATCGACGTGAGAAACCCCATTCGTCAATATACCGTAATAATACTTTCATAGCACCATGTTCGTTCTGTAGCATTCGATCGAGATCTTCTACTTGCGCATTTTCCATCTCTATAAATGCCTCGTCAGAGACTTTGAGAGTAGATAAGAGCGTAATAGCCTGCCTGTTCAAATATGCAGGCAAAAATGTTGACGCCCTTATCACTTCCAGCTCCGTATGTAGTGAATCAAACTTGCGCTGACTTGGCCGCACCTGGATTTGCTTCTCCCGGACATGCGGAGACATGCATAAAACACCCTTGTATCCACCAAGACGGAATTGGACAGCAGAAGGAATGCTTTTTAAATCAAGAACTTCGGCAATTTGTTGGCATAGCGCTCGTGAAATCTTGCCACAACCATCGGAAAAATTGTATCCGTTTCTCGTAATGTCATTGATTGATCGAATATCGTTCACAGGTAGATGAGTCACGGCGCGAGTACTTGAAAAGCATTGTCCCATGCGTGCAGCGTATTTTGCCACTACTTTGATATCGCTTAAATTCCCCATCCAATTGCGTATATCGTTAGCGGTTAATTCCTCTGTAGGGGCAAAGAACCAGCAAGAACGATCTCGTAGCTGGCTTGAAGAGAAGGCCAAAAACTCGTATTTCCTATTTCCAATCTGAATCCCGTTCATGAGAGTACGGTGAACCCGATTGTAGACTGCGACATGGTTATCTCCATTCGCCGACGGAAGCTTTCCATTTTCGTCATTGAATTGGACCCTTAGGAAACGTTCCTTGTGGTCTTTAAAGTACCTTATGGTCCTGTTACTGGTTTCCATGGTCGGCGGCAATATATACATCTTAGAAGGGGTAATAACAACTTTTCGCATCATGACACAATACGAGGGTACTGTCTCTTGCCGACTGTCACCGCCTTGAAGCCTCGCAACTTCAAGCTTCAAGCGAGAAAGAGGATCATAAATTCTCTGTTTATGCTGATTGAAGTTATCTAAAATGGTAAGAGCTTTCTCTTTCTTTTGTCGAGCAAGCAAGTCCATGAATTCGTCATTGAGATTGTAATCATGTAAGTAACCATGCGTAATATTACATTCCAACATATAAAGTACATCAAAGTCCAGCATTGACCTATCAACATATTTTTTCAGGCTGCTTCCATAAACCATCCTTAAGTGTTTGGAAAACATGGCATCCCTTGGTACAAGATTGTAATCAGCAGCTTTGAACAACATCTCTTTAAGCTTGTCGACTCCTCTATGCTGGTCGAGAATAAACGTAATCCTGTACGCGTACCATCTTCCAAGCTCTTCGCCTGTCGCGTTTGGATATGAAGGCATCGTCGGCTGTTGTATCTCTTCGTCGCTAGGCTTCCCTATCCGGAGGGCCGTCTTCCTCATCCAACACTCCATCAAATTCCATTCAAATTGATTCCTCGTCTCAAGTTTCTCGTTCAGGAAGAATAGTTTTGGCGGAAATTTGGTTCGTATTGTAGTTACCGCACGCGATTGACCGTTCTGTGTATCGAGTTCTGTATGGAACTCACCCTCGACGTCGTTGAAATAAGTTTCCAATCGGAAACTATATGTCTTACTCCCATTTCCTTTACTGAAACCAAATTCGATTTCAAAACTGCGTCTTGCATAATTCAGCTTAAATGCTATATCATTGTCCGTTTTCCATTCTCTAGCAAAGGTGTCCTCTTGAGTGAACACACCCATTTCCAAAGACTTTGCCAATAAGAAATCTTGATTTCTGCATTCTCTTGAGAAGTTCGGCTGGTCATTTTGAGGCGATATAACTACTACCCGCAGTTTCTTTCCATGAAATCGGATAGTCTGTCTCCAAAACTCCGTTTCTGGCGGAGGTCTTTAGTAATGAGTAAACAGTATAAATTATATTGTTATCTATATCATTGTTATTCAAGTCAATGTATTTAATTAACACAAAACTTACCTATAGACAAGGAATACTGTCCCAGTGAAGACAGTGCCTAAGCTCGTGTTCATAATGATTCTATCTAAATGGCCGTAACCGGAGAAAAAATCTCTCAGTTCAACCAATCTAGCATTGGACTGCAAGTTGCTAACTTTTAGCCGCAGCTGGCGGGGATAACTTTGTCCGTTCCCGTTCCCTCTGCTGTGGTTGCTTGGCATCATCCTGGTTATATTATTCTAATAGCAAGTTCGAACTGAGGTTATGCTTTAGCGTTATCGCTTCTGGTATTAAGCTAAGACGGTGCAAAGGCGATAGTCGTGTTGACAAAACGCGCTAATGTTATTGGGAAAATCGCAAGAAGGTTTGGTTTGAAGTAAAACTTAGAATGTATCGACTTCTCTTGGTAACGCTGACAATATTTTTTGGATATGTGATGTACAGCCTAAGAGTTTTAGACAAAGCAAACTGCCACCATAATCTGGTCTTCATATAATCAACTGCGGGTTCGCGTTGGTGGAACCACGGATTTCCAAATAAAGAGCACACAGAAAAAGGGGCGTTCTTATCAGTTCTCCCCTACCAAATTTAGTAACTCGAAATGTTAGCATTGCCATAGCGATAGTAAGAATTAGAGATGGAGGCTTATTGGCCTGGCTGATACGAAATTTTTGGCTCAGTCGGTCATTCCAATTTTAGTAAATTTACCTCAGTAACATATGTGCATATTAATATTAATATACACTAATACTAACAATCAATAAAAATGAGGTCAAATTTAAATTACTCAACATGTAACAATGCAACTGTTCTAAAATTCAGACCAAATAAACTATTATTAATTGTAATTAAGCCATCGAGTTTTTGTCTT